AAAGCAAGGAACCAAACCAATTTTTTTTTGGGGGGGGGGGGGAAGAAAAAGAAAATAATCTCAACTTTTCAAGCAAACCATCAACTGTTCCCATTTCCCCAGAAATCTCCTCGGCCTGCTGCTCGCCCAGGGTGTGAATAGAGATGTCTCAGGTCTGTTTTTATCCAAGCATGTCACTTTAGCACAGATAGAAAGTTCAGGATGAATTAAATGTCCAAGGTTATGAACAAAAGCATGACAGGCCCAGAGCTTCCAGGATCTCCCGGGCTGTTGTCTTGGTGATAAAGGTTAACAGGAGACTGCTTTCCAATTTCTGTCAAAAGGAGGATTTTTTCCCCCTTCCATCCCAGAATATGCTTGTTATTTCTGCAGCCTCCTCGGACTCTCCTGCCAGATAGTAGAGATCTATAAAAACGGGTGTAAATGCCAGATTCGGCAATGTTGCCGCCTTATTTACTACAGCACGGGAGGCAGAAGCAGGGTATTGGAGTCTCGTACAATATTCTTCTGGAGAAAATGGGGGGCTGAGGGTGGGGAGCGTCCCATGAGAGCGGCTGGCGGGGGATAAGCAGGAGCTAAGGAAATGGTCTCTGTAGGGTACTCTGAAGCTGAGTGATGAAGGAACAGGTGTCTTGGGGGCGGGGAGGGGGCTCTCTGTGGAATGGCTCGAACAGAGTCACAGAAGCAGGCTGATCCAAAAGGCCACATGTACACCTTGCCGAGGGGTTTCTCAGCTGACATAAACTTCCAGGAGTGGAGTCTCATATTTGCAAATCCAGTCATTACCCCACCGTCACCATGTGTCATGTTAAAGCAGGACACAGTTAAAGTCACTGTCTGGCTTGGACCCTAAGGGCCAGAAAAACAACAGAACCCTCCAAACAGTGACCTTTCCACTAACCCTCCTAAGGCTAACAGGGACCTTTCCACTATGGAATAATTTGGAGTCTCAATGTGTAGAGTCTGAGAAAGCTTACTTCTCCAAGCATCTCCGTATCTTTAGCATGCTTATTCTCCTCCTCCCCCCCCAGTTTCCCTCTTCCCTTCTTCCCACTCACTGTTATTCTCACTGCCCTTGCCAAGGAGACTTTGTAAACGATGAGACTTTGGTAACCACCTCCCACAGGCATCCTCCGACCTCTAAGTGTGCACCATGTCAGGTGTGCATGCACAAACACACATATACATCAGACAGAATGGTTTTTGGAGGGAAGGGAGGGTTTCGAGACAGGGTTTCTTGCTCTAACGGTTCTGACTGTCCTGGAACTCACTCTGCAGACCAGGCTGGCCTCAAACTCACTGAGATCCACCTGTCTCTGCCTCCCAAGTGCTGGGATTTAAAGCATGTGTCGCCACCACCACCAGGCTCACATATAATTTTTAATTAAAAATTAATAAGCTCGAAGAGATGGCTCAGTGGGCCATCTGCTACCAAGCATGGCGACCTGAGTTCAATCTCCAGGACCGACACAGTAGGAGAAAATGGACTGTGGAAGTACTCTGAGTTCCACATGCATGCCCATAAGCACGCTCGCACGTGCACACACACACAGACACACACACACACACACACAAAGCATGAATATTCAGACTTTAAAATTAAATCACTTAACATAATTTCAAGATGTAAAATCTGCCACTGTGTTTCAGGTTTCCATTCCTAAAGTACTACACATTCTCCTGAGACCATTGCACAACCCACGACCTCAGGGCCCCACCATCTAAAACACCTGCTCCCAAAGCTAAGGGGACAGGGCAGCTAGAGATCAACCACCCCCATCTCATAGGCTTCGCAAGTGAGGACCCGTTTTTAATCCTTTGGAATGTCACAACTCTGACTTTGTGGCAAACTGTCGTTGTCTATTGATGGAGGCAACCTGCACATCTCTGCATGACAGGTGACACCAGGGTCACTGGCACATGTCCCTGAATCTGCACCACAGTCACCACAGCAGGCTCTTCACGCATTTGACGACATCACTCACTTAGTGTCTGGGCAAGAGGGCTGTGAGCCTGGCCTGCCTAGCCTGGGTCCATCGCTCGTGAGGAGGGAGTTTTGCTGTTTTGTTTCTTGAGACAAGGTTTAGCGTGGCCTAGACTGGCCTCAAATTCTTGCTATGTAACTAAGGATGGCTGTGAAGTCCCATTCCTTCGGCTTGGACCTCCCATAGCTGGGGTTACAGGTGTGCATACTAAATCCAGTTTTGGATTGCTGCTGCTGCAGTGGAGGAGGCAGTGGTAGGGTGTGGTGCATGGTTTAAAAGTTAATCCCAGTATCTAAACATAAAAAGACTTCTTACATGAGATCCACTGGGTCCCACTCTGCTCCTCCTCTTTCTCCTCCTTCTGTCCCTTCCCCTTCTCTCAGTCTCACCCCCACCTTTATAATTGAAGAAAGAGAATCTCAGTACAGTTATGTGACATGTCCTAAGTCACACAGACCTGAGATTAGATCCCTGGTCCTTGACTTCCTCCCCAGAGTCCCTATCAGAGTGTGTCGTGATGCAGAATGGCCATAGCACTTGCTTCTTCTTTTGTCCACTTCACCCTCTGCATCCTCCTGTTTGCTTATTTCCTAAGATCCACACAGCCCGTGCCTTCCTAGTCTAGTCTGGGTTTTACTCCAGCACCCTGCAGTTCAGTCACTTGACGTCCAAAATTGCTCTGCCCTCAATGCACTGGTCCTTAGACTGAATAGGCACATCATCTGATTAAAGAATTTAATAAACTCTGAACTGATATGTAAAGGCATGTTTAATGTAAACTTAAATACTGTCAGCAGGCTTCATCTTGAGAGAAATCCCTTCGATCCCTCTGATAGGAATTCAGTTCTTATTTGGCTGAATATGCATGAATGTCACAGCCTTAAGAGCACTTACCCCAGCCATGGGATGTGCTGAAATGAGGTCCCTTCCATGACCCTCAGGGAAGCACCATGGGAAGTGCTTGGAAGAGCCATGTGACCACCGCCTGCTGCTCCGTTGAGCAGAACAACGTCTCTGTTAAAAGTCTAGCTCAACAGTGGTGAGGATTAAAAAGTAACATGAAGAAATTGCAGAATGAAAAATTGGAAACTGGGTAAGGGAAAAGAAAGTAGATGGTCAGAGGAGTCTGAGAATCAGTCTGCAGTACCCACGTCTGCGGTACCCAGGTCTGCGGCATCCAGGTCTGCGGCACCCATGTCTGCGGTACCCACGTCTGTGGTACCTATGTCTGTGGTACCTATGTGTGTGGTAACCAGGTCTGTGATACCCAGGTCTGCAGTACCCACGTCTGTGGTACCCAGGTCTGTGGTACCTATGTCTGTGGTACCTATGTGTGTGGTAACCAGGTCTGTGATACCCAGGTCTGCTGTACCCACGTCTGCGGTACCCACGTCTGTGGTACCTACATCTGTGGTAACCAGGTCTGCGGTACCCAGGTCTGCACTACCCACGTCTGTGGTACCCGGGTCTGCGGTACCCATGTCTGCGGTACCCATGTCCGCGATACCTGGGTCTGCGGTACCCATGCTCCAGGTGTCTGTGGAGACTTGGTTCCAGAAAGCTTGGAGAGAAGAGTGGGATGGAAGGACCTGAAGTCCTTCTGCACAGGTTTTCCTTTTATAGCTGGAGAGATCTGGTCTGGCCCAGCTCTAAGACTGTCTATTGACCCATCCTCATTTTCATATGCCTATGGATCATTCTTTTTTGCCACGATGAGTTTGGGTTTATTTCCATGAAAACTTTCTGTAGGTATTCCATGTGCCATTATTAGAAAAACCAAAAATATGAAAACCCAAAATGTATAATACTTGTTAGTACTTGTTAGGCTCTCTCTCTCTCTCTCTCTCTCTCTCTCTCTCTCTCTCTCTCTCTCTCTCTCACACACACACACACACACACACACACTTTTTTCTCTTGGGTGTGTATTTTAAAAATTTTTGCTTTGAGTTTTAAATCAATGCTGAGAGTTGGTGACATGGTTCAGTCAACGAAGTGCTTCCACCCAAACACGAGGATCTGAGTTAGATCCCCAGAACCCACGTGAAGCGAGGCACAGGTGCGCATGCTCGTAAGCCCATCACTGGGGCTGGAGGGGCAGATCTTGGGGCTCACTGTCTGGCCACCATAGCCTATGTGGTGAGCTCCAGGCCAGTGAGAGACCATGTTTGTTTTTAAATGTGGACAGTTCCTAAGAAAATACACTCTTTTGTCCTTTGACCTCCATATGCATGTAGACACATGTGTACATGTATGTACACTGTGAATATATGTAGTAATACATACGCTACAGACAGTGCCAAAAAAAGGCATTGTAATTTATGAATTCAATATGCCCTGTATCTTATTATTATCATAATAACTTAGTAGTTAGAACTGCCTTGTCCTTGGAGGTAGGACTATCGTTGCACTGCAAAAGCTTCTATATGTGTTATAAGACTATGTTTCAGATTGATTTATGTGTATGCGTGTGCACCTCCGTGAATCTGTGTGCACCGCATATATCCAGGTGCCCACAGAGACCAGAGGGCACTGGGCTTTCTGGAAATGGAGTAGAGGCAGGTGTGAGCCGTCTCATATGGGTGCTGGGAACTGAACCAAGGGCATCCAGCAAGAAGAGTAAACACTCTTGGCTGGTGAGCTCTCTCTCCAGTTCCAATTCTATATCTGTAATATAATGAAGATAACTTCACTATATAGCAAAACGGGAATCTTAGACTCCTAGAGTTGTGTATGTCGCTATCGCATTTGGCTTTTGATGTGCATTGTGCAAGTGCTTAGTGATAGCTGGAATGTATTCTCATATGCTTGTTGGCCTTGAATATATGTTCAGAAAAATGCCTGTACACATGGATATAAAAATGGCGCACCCTCAAAGAAGGTAGCAACGGAAAGACTGACGGCCCCTTTGTCTCTTTTTCATTCAGCATGGGAACTGCAATCCTCTGAAACTACGCTGCTCAAAGCAGTGGTTCTTCTCCTCTCCCCTGCACCTCACACCTGGTGTTTCTCTTGCAGATTCTATATAGAAAGCATCTCCTACCTGAAGGACAACGCCACCATCGAGCTCTTCTTCCTGAACGCCAAGTCCTGCATCTACAAGGTAGGAATGTGCTCCTCCTGTCCAGTTTCCTGATGGAATCAAAAATATCAAAATGTTGCCAATAAGGCAGTTCTATTGATTGGGGAAAGTCATTTATAAATTCGTTGCTATAAATAACTGAGAAATTGCATGTAAGGAAAGCCACTAGCTAAACAGTGTGACTTCCTCCATCCTGTCATTGTTTTGACTTTACAGAAGTGTTCCTCCTGGTAGACAGGTCAAAGCAGCAGAAAAGCAAGCAGCTAGTCACATCATAGCCGCAGTCTAGAGCAGAGAGGACAGAATGTGCACATGCTTGCTTGCGCTTGGCTCTGTGTCTACACTCTAATACAGTTCAGTCTTCCCTGCCTAGGGAATGACACCACCAGCCGCAGACTGAGCCTTCCCATGTCAGTCAACTTAACTAAGACAATCGTCCATAGACCAACCTGACCTAGACAGTCTGTCCCTCATTGAGACCCTTCCCAGGTGACTCTGGGTGGGTCAAGTTGTCAACGCTAACTATCATACAGTCGGTCATCCTCTGAAGCTCACATGGAGCACAGGCTTGGAGTTTAGTGGGAATTGCCTGGATTTCCCCCCCCCCCAATCTCTCTTCTGTGAGGAAGAGGAGTCACGGGGAGACTGACATATCTACTGAAGAGCAGAGTCACTCTTTGGGTTCGGGGGAACCTAATACCAGTCACAGAGTTCAGCCGCGGCCATGCTATGTTCATGAAGGGCACACTCTTTGTACGGTGTATCCAGAGAACTTCAAATGTGGGTCCCCTGCTTAAGGGACCCCTGGATGCTTTCTGAAGATTCCAAGGAGAACTCGTGGCATGTGGCTTTCTGGCTCAGATCTCTGGTTTGGAGTGTGGTAGTAACTTACCACACTTGAAAGCAAAAGGGAAGAAATCGAGTAATCGCTGCGGTTGTCCCTCGGGGGAGCTCTTTACCTGAACTGCCAGAGTAATGCCACCATTCGTAAGGCTGCAAGGCCTGGCGGAAACCAGGTTCAACACGCAGAGAGACCTCACTTGGCGGTAGCTGATGACCTAGGACATATACAGAGCTGAAACCCAGAGCCTGCAGATGAGAAAACTTTGATTTTGTTGACTGCTGGGGAAAACAAGAAAGCGTTAATTTAGTTCCAGGTGCTTTCAAATTCCTTCCTCCCTCTAATCCCTAATTTTCTCATTATGAAGTGGAAAGAATAATACTATCCAGATACCTTAGAAACCATAGGGGTGCCTGAGGGGTTTCTTAAATGAATGGGCAAGCATTATTTTTAGAAAGTTGAGAAATAATAATTTAAAAAAAAACAACCTGAGCATTGCCCACAAGGGGGCAGACTTGAGCTAAAATAAACGGCTATCACTGAGCTTTTTGAAAGGACACTCAGACCAATTAAATTAGTGCTTGGTGCACACGTGCGTAAAGGGGAAGGCAGCTGTTTCCTGGAGTTGGTTCCACTTGGTCCCGTGTACGTGCTGAACCTGCGGTAATCAAGGAGATTAAGTCCTCAGAAGTAAATATTACAAATTTCCCAAGAGGAGGTGCAGGTGGCTGTGCCTCTAGAACTGGCCACATTAAAGTCCAGGTGACCCCAGCATCAGCTTGCTTGCCAAACAGAAAGTGGGAGACATTTCAGAGCCCACGCTCTCTCTTCTTAAAATCCTTTCTGGAACATGGTCACAATGACCACAAAGGATCAAGGATGAGTCCTCTAAAGCTCGGGTAGACAGAATCTATCTCTACCCTGCTTAGCTCGGTCATCTAAATATTTTCTTTTGCAAACACTGACAGGGCTTTACTATCAGGTTTGTTTGGATTCATTTTGAGCCTTGTAAACGTCTGAGGATGGTGAAACTTTGCCAAGGAGGAAGCTGTTGTTCAGAAGAACCGGAAGTGGCCAGGCAGCAGTGTGCCCTGTTAGCCACATTCGACAGCATGTAACAATAATAGAAGTCCAAACGGTTGTAGATATTTAGGTTCTGCTGCAACAGACTTGGATTCCTACCAGAAAAATCTGAGTGTCTTCCACAAAATGTCTCCAAGCTTCATTTTCCTTTTTGACTAAACAAAGATATTGCAAGAGCCAACCCACACCTGAGAAATACTCCCCAGACGAGGCATGGAAAGGACTTAGCACTGTGCCATACACTAGCTCAAGCCTCTTGGATTCTGATACATTTTTCTTGGCTACAATTTTCTGGGCCACCTGCAATGGCCCCAGGTGTATACTGAGGCAGAAGGCAGGCTGACTTAGTAACTTGTCACATTGTGCTGCCCCAAACATTGATCCACCCAGCAGTTTGATATCAGACCCCTTGCTATTTCTTGGAGGCGACTCTTCCGGGGTTTTCTTTCCCCTTGCTTGCTTGCATTTTGTGGACTCCAGGTTGAGCACAGGACTTCACATATCTTAGGCACGCACTCTACCGCTGGGCTGTATCCAGGCTCTTTCTACTTTTGACAAAATGTCTCACTCCCTTATCCAGGCTAGCTCTAAATGCACTGTGTAGTTCAAGCTATCCTTGAACTTCAATTCTCCTTTCTTGGCCCCCTGAATAGCTGAATTACAGGCCTGCATCACCAAACTCAACTCCTACCGTGGTTTAGAGCCAAGCTGTCCAGGTGAAGTGAGCTACTTACCCTTGCTTTTTTACAGACCTATTTCCATTCACATTTCAAAATATTAAGATCTGTTTTTTGACAGGGAGCAGGAGATGGCTCAGCAATTAAAAGTTTGATTCCCAGCACCCAGATAGTGATTCACAACTGTCTTTAACTCCAGTTCCAGAAGATCTCATGTCCTTTTCTGACCACCCTGGACACCACGTATGTGTTAGGTTGGGAGCTTATTGTTTAAAAAAAAACCAATATTTTAAAGTATATTTTAAAAAAAAAAAACCTCAGGCCTTGATTTTATGGAAGTGTAACTCAGTCAGGAGTGTCTGAAAGACCCTGGGCTCAATCCCCAACCCAGCATGAAGAGTGGTGGGGGCTGTATTATTACTATCTTAGTAACAGGAGACAACTTAAAAGGGAAATGGGGGTGAGGGCAGTGAGATGGCTCAGTCAAGGTGTTTGTGACCAAGACTGGTGGCCTGAGTTTGACCCTCAGGACACGGACTGGAAGTAAAAAGCCCGTGAGTTGTTCTCCGACCTCCACACCTGTTCACAGATGTACACATACTGTAATCAAACAGCTGAAGTTAACCGGTTCTCAGAGGCTTATCATGCAAACACGCCCATCTCTTCTGCTACGCAAGCCCTACCCTTCGGGGTCACTTTGTTCTTCTTTCTATTATTTGTCTCTTTAATTCTAAATAAATGGTCCAGTTCTTCCTTGGTTTGACACCTCTCAGTTTATTAAACTCTCCATAAGATAGATGGAATCGGGGTGTCCTCTGTAGCACCCACACACTCCCTTCCCTAGTTTTCTCAGGGTAATATCGTACTTCTGGGTGGAAGCCATAATAGTCATCGACATGACAGGACTAATCCGGGCATTGTCCCATGGCTCTGATGCCTTTTTTTAAACAATGGGCTGTTTTACCTAAAGGGATTTGTTACCTTGTTTTCCTTTGTTTAGTTTCTATGTATCCTTGTTTGTTTGCTCAGAGCTTCCACTGATTCCCAGATATATTCTAGTATTGGGTTCCAATGTGATAGCAATTAGTCAGCTCTCTGTGGTTTGAGTTGGTGGCTGCTGCTGCTGCTATTGGTTTTCCTGAGACTCCTCCCCTCCCCCTTGGAACCCTCTGTCCCCCTGGCCCATGAACTTGGCCAGCTTTGCCGCTCTCTTCCTGGGAGGCTGCTCTCCTGTCTGGGTCTTTCCCCACCTCCGCTCTGTATTGGATCATCTGTCTTCTGGGTCCTGCTTTGTTTGTGTGGTTGGTTGGTTGGTTTTACACCATTTGGGGGGATTTTTCTTGGGGGGGGGTGCTGTTTTCCTGGACAACAACCCCAAGTAAATCTAGAGAAAGGACATCCTAAAGTAAAATGTTTGGAACCTTGTGTGTCTGAAATGTCATTATCCCCTGTCATATCTTCTTAGAAGCTGGATTAGATATAGGCATGCAGAATGACAGCTTCTTTATCAGGTGCTGTTCTAGAAATGCCCACCGTTCTGTCCGTTGTATGTGCCACCCCTGTGCCATCTCCCAGCAGCTGGGTCTTTGGGGCTTTCCTCTGCGTCCTCTTGATCTAGCATTTCAGGAGTGCTGATCTCTGTAGATATGCTCTGCTGAGGACCTTCTGAGTGGATGCTTCTATTCTGGAGACTCATAAATAAATTCTTTCTGAATTATTTCTATGTTATCTTCTCCTCTTTTATCTCCATCCTCTCTTCTTGGAAGTACTGGAAATTGGAAGCTAGGGCAGGTTTGTGTCCCTTTTCCACTTCTGGCTTCTTCTTCTACTTTCTGGGAAGTTTTTGTCAGCACTGCCTTTCATCGCTTCTTTTGATTTTTAACCTTAACACACACACACACACACACACACACATTGCTTCTAAGAATACCTTTGCATTTCTGAATTCTTTCTTTTAAAATATCATATTTTAGGGTTTGGAAAGATGGCTCAGCAGATAAAAGTGCTTTTTGTTCATGGAAAGGACTCTGTTTGGTTCTTATCACCGGTATCAGGCAGCTCGTAACCCCAGCTCCAGGGGATTCAGTGAGTTCTACTGACCTCCATGGGCACATGAACACGCATGGGATACTCACATATACATAAATAAAAACAAATGTTTAATATTGAAAGACTCCTGTTGTCCACATTTACACTCATAATTGTTAATTAAAAAATTATGCCTTGGGAATATACTATCTCTTATCATTTTGATTACATTAATTACAGTGCATGCTCAACTTCCTTCCTGCTCCTTCTTGGTTCATCCTTTTTCTACCTCTGCCTTTTCTGTAGGACACATCCCTACCTCCACCCCCAGCCTCTCAACCAACCCCCACCCTGGTCTCTCTTGCTGCGTGTGTATGTGTGCATGTGTGCAT